TGTTGAGTATCAAAGCCAAAAATCCGAACTAGATATTCTGACACGTAGAAGATAAATTCTTCCTTCAAGCAGGCTAATTAGCTGTTTTGGGGGCGCGAGAAAGTGTTATCCGTTCGGGCGGGCGGGCGCTCCCGCTTTTTTCTAACGTTTTCTCCTCCAGTTAATCTGCATTTATTCGTCTCCGTATTTCTTGGCCTGCTCTGGACGAGGGGTGTGAATAGGCTAACGAATCGGCGAATTTTGAGATAGTTTCCCCCGGATTTCGGATTCAGAGCGAAATTGTAATGACAGGATTTGTGGATCCTGCAACTGCAGCAGATTGCAGATTCATATATTTTTGTGCCCCGATTTTGGACTTTGCGTGTAATAAAATATTTTTGCCCTGATTTCGGATTCAGAGTCAAATTTTAATGGCGGATTTGATAAATAAATCATAATCGATCGAAGGATATACCTAACCCTATTCGCCCCTCTCCTATACGTACTTAGTAAAAGTCCTAAATTTAAATTATGGATTCCGTTCGTACCTCGGGGTACCCTCAAGTAGGATGCGCAGATCATTAGCTGCTGTTAAAAAAGTGAATTGCCTGTTAGTTTCAATCAACGATACACTCTTCTACTATGTTGTCATTATTATTATTGTTATGTTTATTATTATTATTATTATTATTTTAGAATTCTATATTTTATGATGTCCATTACGTTGCCGAAAAAGAATTAAACGTTACTTTCTTGGTCACACAATTTTACATTTCTAATTTCATTTTATTATTTTTCTTCAATTAAGAAGGGTTACCGAGGTTTGAGGTTCTTAGAGTTTCTCAGAGTTAAGTATTTTATAGTTGGCATTAATGTTAAACGTTTTGAATTATTTTATTCTCACAAGGCTCGTGTGAAAACCAGCTTTGTTAAAAGGGCTATACTGCGAAAAATAAACAGATTTGATAGATAATGTGTTTTTATTGATTGCAACACAATACACACACCCAATTTAAACATCTTCAAGAAGCCCAGTATTGGATGGTTATTTTTTTTTGCGCAAAATTTGCTGCGCGACTGCCGGATCTGTAAGTTATAACAGAAAGAGTCATGTTTTCTAGTAGGTAGTTTCTCCTTAATAATCTGAAATTTATTCCTTGTTCCACGAAATCGGTATTAATATCATTTTGTTACTCCGCCTGTGACTTAAGTTTGCCAAGTTTCCGAAGTTTCCTGACTATAAAATGGTCATGGAGGCCTACACTAACCAACAACTGCACTACCGCAAAAGTCGGTAAGCTATGGAACACGTGAAAGAGACCTATCAAAATTTCTTTCGAAAATATAACAAATCGACATCCGCCCTCGTTCCGTTAGCCAGCAATTCTTAAATAATTATGAAAGACTAGAGAATTAAAAAAAAATGTCCGCGCCCTGTGAGAGTCTAGTAATGAAAATATACGGATGAAATAACCTTTCACTCGAGAAAATCAATGTTCCCCTGGTCCTGCATTGAAAAGCGTACAGTTCCCGTGAGCCCTGAGAGTTTTCTCAAGATATTCCTTGTACCCTAATATAAAGGTAAATTTCTTCTTCCCTCTTTCCCCCATATTACTGGGAGGCCTTTTTTGGGAAGGCTCGTAGTTTCCGCGCACTTTCTCAAACAGCGGCTGGTAATTGACCCTGTTCTTTGGTAGGCTCAGTAAAGTTTTACCCATATAGATAAGCTGGCAGTAGAATTTTCGAAATCCCTTAGAGAGATACTCATCCTCCAGGCGTGCGAGCAACTAGAATTTTAGGCTTTAATGTTGTCACTCTTATAAGTGCGATTGTTTGCTTATATTCAAGAGAAGTGGCAGGAAGGAAATAGTGAAGTTAGAAACGACAGGGTTTTTTCGATTATATCTCAACTCTAAACTTTGTTTTTGACAGCCTTTTTGACCAATACAGCTGAGAAGGACCCTTAAAAACTATAATTTGTCTCCTTCGATAAAGATCGCGAAAAGTGAAAGGTCCTTTTAACTTTACGTGCAAGTTATTATAAGGGAAACTAAAGCAAATTTTTTATTGTCACCTGTATGGTTGTAAGAACCTTGACAAACGCAGAAAATTAAGAACAAGCCAAGAAATGGACTCATTGCAGCTTTTTCCCTGGGCATTCCGTTTAAAAGTGGTTACTTTAAAAGGCAGTTGCTGAGAGATTATTTATTTTGATAAGCTGGTGCATCCCACACCCTAATAAGGCAGGTCAATTTAGAGATGGTGAGATTGTATTTACTTAACTTGTCCTGCCCTGTCATGATTATCGATCCAGTGGATTTGCTGTGTATAAGGTTAACAATTCAGCTGCTCTTACTGCCTTGACACATTTATTCATCACCGTTCGTTCGTCGTTTATTCAAACATTCTTTATATGGCTGAATGTATATTTAGAGTGTGTCCCTAATTGGAAACGCAAAAGACTTTTTTTCATCATTACGGGGATCACATTAATATAAGGTCGCGAATAACTCTGCCCTGAAAAAATGCTGACCTTTAACATTCAAAATCACTGTTTTTTTTTTTAAATTAGCACACTGAAGGCCCATAAGAAAGTTCATCTAACCCTAAACCTATCACTAACGCCCTTCTGCGGTCAAGCCCTAGGCCAAACAGAACCAACATATATGTTTTATCGACAACTTCAATGTCTGTGCTATTTATTGTAAAGCAACGTAACATGAAGGCGCAAAACCACAGGAAGCGATCAGGGTTTATTTAAAGTGGCTTTTCCGTTTACACAAGAAAGTACATTTTTTATTCTTTCAAAATTGACTGTAAATCTTTCAGTAAATATGAAATACCTTTATAAACTTATTAAAGTAGTTTACAGCACTCTGACGTTGCTTAGCACCATTTTAAAATATACTTTTAAATGGCATATTTCAATATTTGGTCAAACTCTACTCACAATTGAGGGCAAGGTTCTTGTAGTTTGAGATCAAACTGCTCTTTCTTTTTTTTTTTTTTGTAATGCCGCAAAAAATACGGTAGACTGAAACTCGTCATTCGGAAACAGAAAAAAGTATCAGTTCATTGTATTCGTTTAATATGTTATTATTTATTGTCAAACTTTACTCCATTTGAATATTCATGTACACTGAGATCAAAACCGGTGCTCTACCTCTTCATCAGGAAATAGAAAAAATGTCAGTCCATTTAGTCGGGTTAAGGCTTGAAATGGCAGGACTATGGTAACTAGCTAGCCGAGAAAGTAACTGGAAAGAGGCAGCTCCCTCGCGTGCTTGGCTCGTTCGCTGTCAAGAAATATGCTCGCCTGCGCGACAATCCAGGGACTCATAGCGCAGTTCATTAATGTTTCTTTTGCTCTTTCCTTGCAAACTACTGCAACGTACGCGTAAGGCTAATTTGTCCGTGGTTCGTGGGATGCTCTCTTAGTTCGGGAGATGTCTGTGCGCGTTGTAACAATCAGTAATAACTAATAACTCCATGCATTTTGTCTTGATCGATTTAGTCTTTTTTGTATTTTGGACTTCTTCCCTTGTCATGCATCTTTCTCTCCTGCCCGAGAAAGCCACGTTCTTGACTAATGTCTATTGTCGATTTACAATATTTGTATTCATACACCTGCGCAAATAGGGTAAATGAGGCACTTCTCTAAAGTACAATGTGTGGCTTGATCACGTGGGTTGAAAAGGTAAATCACCAAAGTCAGCCTCAGCTGAATAGTCTACTCACCTACAAATCAATCCGCTGATGGGGTCCGCCCTATGAAACCGCCGCCTGGTTAGTTCAGGTTGGAGAAGAACGTGCTGTTTTTGTAATGACACCTGCAAACGGTTAGACTTTCTAGTCTTCTCGGATAAGGATAAGGAAGAAAACCCATAGGTCCCGTCTTACCTCACTTTCACTTATGGTCGTAAATTAAAATCCACACCACTAACTGTTCAAAAAGAGTAAGAGACGTGACGTAGATGCCGGTGGTGTGGCCAGCAGATCCTGGTCTGGGTGGGTTATCTGTAAGAAGAGATCTTAATATTCTTATAACCTCATGATGCCCCTTCAGGTGTCGTAATGGCTACCTGTAAACAGTGTATGTATATAAAGTCTATGGCTGTAGCTACAAGCACGTAAATAACATTTCTAAGATACGACGCACTTCAAAGCCCACTTCAAAGCTTTTTTTCTTTATTCTGCTACTTTATTTTTATTTTGTTACTTTTAGTTCCCTTGACATACGGATCAAACGTAATCGCTATGAAGTGTCTAGCTTCCACATAATTACTGCAACAGTACCCGAGAAATATTGATAATAATGTTAAGAAAACTACTTTAGATTAATCTTCGTGCATAGAAACAGCAATGTGCATAGAGCATGAATTAAGTCAAAAGAGGAAAATGTCTCTTCAGAGCTGCAAACATTCTTTTCCTGTCATATTCCCTGACTTTGTTATCGCTACTGTTGTTGCCTCAGTTTCCGCCTGAAATAAAAACAAGATTTTTACAATCCGCTTCGCGTCAAAGTGTAATGATATTATCATTTCACACTCGTTACAATTCGAAAATGAAAATATGACGTGACCGAAATTGTTTTCGGTTATAAATGCCTAAGACTAAATATACAGCTATTTCGAGAAAGGTTGTCGGAAAAAATGTGCACGCGACAATCCCGAAGGGCAATATGGGATATAATCAATACACCGTTCCTGACACTGCAGCTGTAGAACTTACGTTTGTTACTTTCCTTTAGCAGCTCGCAAACACATAAGTCCGTGGCTTCTCATGCCATTCTTTCAAATTTCTTTGAAGAATAGTGTATTCAAAACCACCCACAATACCTTTCTGGATTGTCACGTGCACTTTTTCCGACAACCTTTCTCGAAATAGCTGTATATAAAGGTCTCTTATTACGTTTACTAACCTGTTCATGTCACTAATTTTCTGGCATTTGTTTGATCATCAGACTTAAGTCTAGCTACAAAAATCCGGATTTCTGAGAGTTTCAGAGATTTATGTGAGTATTTTTAACGTGATTTCTTTATTTCTTACAAAAATCAAAATGGTGGAATGGCACAGTTTGTTGATTTGCCTTACCAAAGCCCTAGAATGTTCAGAACTGTTCTCCCTGTTTGTTAATGTTCTAGAAATTGTACGAATATTTTGAAGTGTTTATGGGATTCTTATAGTTATTCTGGAAAGATTTTGAAAACACGTTTCGGAATTTGCTTAGATATGCCTGCCATAAAGGTAAAAGTGGTGAAATGTTGTTTTAGGCCACCCTAAGGCCCGGTTTAGACGCCGAACTTTTCATGAGCCTAACCTAATACACCGAATTAAGTACATGAAAGTTCGGTGTCTGAATCAGTTAGGAACGTCTGTTTCAACTTGGAACGGCTGAGCCTTTCTTTTCGCTTGGTTCGGCCGGGAATTTCGCCTTTGGAGCGACTTTGGAACGGCTTTGATTCAGACGCCGAAGTTTTCATGTACCGAGCCTAATGCATAAATTATTATAACGTATTTTGTAAGCAGCCTGACCGAAATTTCGAAATTAGTTCAGCTGCAATTAATATCGGCGTCTGAATCAAATCAGCCGGTCTAAATAATTTGGGTCGGCTTTAATTCGAATTAGGTTCGGCTCATGAAAAGTTCGGCGTCTGAACCGGGTCTAATACTCAACAATTAAAGTGATATATAGGTAAAGTAGGCATTAGGGGAGGTTTGCACAACTGTAATGCATTTAATGTTAATTACCCAACTTACTAGATATTTTATATGATTACTTACAGAACTTGCAGCTTTTCCTGCAATTCTTTGACATGTAACTATGGTAACTTTCGCAGTATCCTTCCCCCGCCCAGTAAGAACACCATTTGTGGTCGTCTGTGCACTTTACTTTAAACAATGATAGAAAAGAACAGATCCTCGAGTACTACATATAGATATAGTTAGAAAGTCTCATCTCAATGAATTATAAGTGGCATTTTCGGTTGGCAGTGAGAAGAATGCTGGCTTTTCTACCATTAATAGTTTAGTTCTCTCCGTTACAGTTAGCAAATATGTGAAGAAGAAAAATCATTTGTTTCGGAGACGTTCTCAAAGTTTCCATCCCCTTCCCGGAAGGAAAAGATAGCTGAAGTAAGGCTCAAAGTTGTGACATTGAATATCGACAACTACCTACATGGTAAATTCGTGGCAAGAGAAAAGATTTCACGGTTAACTTTTTTCAAGACTAAAGGTTAACAATTTTACACCTAACGACTAAAATGTTTATTGTTTTGGGGTTAACCCCGATTGAGACCTGTAGTGTATGACCATACAGTATATGGTATGCCCTTATTTGGGTGTGGCCATGTGCTCACAATCAGTTTTTGAAGAAGACGCAATCAGTGATCATGTATTACATAAGAGCGAGACTCTTCAAAACCGTCATTCTTCCGAAATTGTTAAATGAGTCTGTCTCTATACTTAAAAAAAAATAAGGAATCACTGAAACAAACTCAATATTTTTTCGAGGGTGTTAAACATTTCTTATCAAGACCGTCGCCAAAGCCCATATTTCTCAACATTTATGATGAAAAACGAATTTCCTCGGCTTTAAGGGTCTATCTTGGCTTACAAATATTAAGTTTACTATAGAAAAAAACACACGTTAGCTTACCCGTTGGAGTAGGGGTAGGAGGGGGTGGGCTAGTGGAGGGCGGCAGAGAAGTCGATGGTCGCTTGGTCTGGAAGTCCATCCAGGTGCCGTTGCCATCTGATAATTAAGGGAAAAAATAGGAAATTATACAACATAAGTGAAGACGATATTTTTGGCTCGGGCGCAATAGTAGCTATTTCATAGCGCAACTCTCTGTGGAAAAAACCCTCTGAAGAAATTAAACGTGTGTATGGGTGTGTGTGGTGTGTGTGCAACTTGCTCCATATCCAGTCATTGGTCAATAAAGGACTGACTTATTGTATCGCCAAGAGAATTTTTTTGCGGGCGAGATAGGCCCAATCCCGAGAGGCCAAGACAGGCCTATATTGCCCCCTCGGATAGCCATTCAGTACACAGTCGCTCCTTCTTGCACGCTCGCGGAACCAGCCATAATACAGTTTTATTATAATAATAGAAGATATTACTAGTGTTCGTGTAACAGCAAATGAACGGCTTCAAACCGAAAAAATGAGAAAAATATACTTACTACTGTCACAATTCATTTTGAAATAGTAAGGCTTGGCACCTGGACAAAGAGTAAAAAATAAAATGTATGTGTAATACTTACTGGTCCGTTACGTATTTAAAAAGATATTTGCTATAAAAGTAAACGCCTTACTTGCTCATTTGGCTTGAGGCCATTGACGCACCCAGAAAAGCGAACTGGGAATAGGAGTAAAAATTCCTGATATCTTTAATTCCTGCTCTACCTCAGCGCCTTCGTTGTGTGCGCTTGCGCGGCTATAAACTGAGAACAAACTAATAACAACTACTGACCTTTTTAAATGCCAAGAAGAAAGCATACATACCCGCTTTCGCGTCACATCGTTGCAGAAGTCTGTTTTGGCAAGGGAATATCTCCTTCAGAAATTCATGCAGAACAGGGTCGTAAGACTTAAGTTCTGTCCTGGTATTGACGTGGTTGTAGATGCCATTCGGTGGGTCGCTCTGGGCGTTACAGTCGAAAAAACTCTGCGCTCCCTCGGCGAGATACTCCCAGTGAGTTGACATAGCGTACGTCTTCTGCCATAGTTTACCGCTGGTTTTAACTGAGTTGTACCGCTTGCGTAGCCTGTCATCGAAGTCTGGAATTGCAAAGTAAGCCCCAAGGTTGTGCAGTCCGTGGACAAATTCGTGGAGAAAGATATCTTGATTCGGATACCTGTCTTGACCGTTTGTAAAGCAAAGAATATTCTCTTCCCCACCTAAAATGTAACGTCCAATATCACTTTGCATTTTTTAAAAAAGCCTTTTTTTTAATCGCCCCATCACCCTTGAACGCAAACAGTACCGTTTTTGGCAAAGGTAAATTGTCTCTCAAATCTTTGATCAAGCCAACCACATATGAATAGTAGAGATGGGAACACGGTGGGAAAATGTCTCTCACCACGTTATTCTTGAGCTAATGTACTTAATGTTCTTACCACACTTAGACGCCATGTACGATCTGACATGACTGAAAAGACTCGCTTAAAATGTAACATTTTGTTAAATTAAATAGACAACTGAAAATTGTTGTGTATTGTTTTTTTACTGCGACAATAGTCCGGTGAAACTTCTTGGAAAATCGCACTCGAGTGACAACTGGGAGTAATATACTTTGCGCCATCTTTACGTAATTTTTAGAGTCCATACTCTCATGGATGAACAAAAGTATGACGAGCACTGCTTGGGTTAAAAGGTTATTGAGAAGGAAATACTCACAAGTAGAAATAGGCTGTGAAACGGTCCCTCCAAGGCCCCTCGCCCGCCAGTTCCACCAGTCATCAAGCCAGGAATGTTCTGGAATACTCGTAACACCCTCAGTTGCAGCGATCACGCCTGCTCGTCCGCGGCGCTTGTAAACCGAGCGACGAATATCCTCGCGGTCAGCAAGTAGGAATATCACAACGTAACAAGCNACGCCATGTACGATCTGACATGACTGAAAAGACTCGCTTAAAATGTAACATTTTGTTAAATTAAATAGACAACTGAAAATTGTTGTGTATTGTTTTTTTACTGCGACAATAGTCCGGTGAAACTTCTTGGAAAATCGCACTCGAGTGACAACTGGGAGTAATATACTTTGCGCCATCTTTACGTAATTTTTAGAGTCCATACTCTCATGGATGAACAAAAGTATGACGAGCACTGCTTGGGTTAAAAGGTTATTGAGAAGGAAATACTCACAAGTAGAAATAGGCTGTGAAACGGTCCCTCCAAGGCCCCTCGCCCGCCAGTTCCACCAGTCATCAAGCCAGGAATGTTCTGGAATACTCGTAACACCCTCAGTTGCAGCGATCACGCCTGCTCGTCCGCGGCGCTTGTAAACCGAGCGACGAATATCCTCGCGGTCAGCAAGTAGGAATATCACAACGTAACAAGCTCTCCTAAGAGCGGCATCTGTGGCGTTTTCGGAACTAATCACAGGGATACCGTATGCATGTAGGTACTTTTTGTAAAATGGGCTTAGAGGGTATTCACTTCGCACATGTGATGGTACATCCGTCACTTGTTCGCACTCCCATGTGGTCAGCGGTTCAGTCTGGAGTAGGCTCTTACCTGATCTGCCTTTGAATCGGCCTTTGAATAGATAACTAATTAATTTTAAATACAAAATATGAAATTACACAATCTAAAGTACACGCTGCAAATATTAATTATAAACCTTATAATCTATACATTTAGTATTCTAAAAGAGAGCGATAAAACCTAAATTAAATGTTATACTACCATAAAAATAAATAAATAAATAAAGTAATAAGACAAGTTCACTATTAATGTTCTAATTAAGGCCTACGGGATTTGATTTTAGCCTTAAATGACGCAAGGGTCTCACAATTTCGGATCTTGGCTCCATTGTAACTTAGGCTGTTTTTCAGAGGAAATCTCTTTTGGGTTGAGGAAAGAAAATTTTTATTAGTTGAATTTCTAAGATTATGACTACTTAGACTTCTATAAGACTTCTATAAGGATATTTGATTAGAGTTATGGCGATTACAAAAAAACAAAGGAAATTTCAACACAGGGCAAAATTTAGCCTGTTCCAGGCGTTGAGATAGTAGACGGCAGGCCATTTAGTATCAATGCTTCGTCATAATGTAAATTCGGAAGAATTATCCTAAGGGTGCGCTTTTGAATTTCTTCCAACGCATCAGACAGATACTTTGACAGATTCGCGAATACAGCCGAAGCGTATTCAATTACTGATCGTATGAGGGAGCATTTCCGCGTTTTGTCTTTAAAAAGAGTGTCAATTTTCTTACCAAGTCCAAAGCCAAATGCTTCAGCTTCCAATCTCATAAACTCTGCAAAGTTTGATGGAGCTGCTGGATCTGAAATTAATAAGAATATTAATATTATTTAGGATGCTATTTAAAGAACTGATGCAATCAACTCAAACTGAAATATGTTCCAAATAATAGTTATGACGAGCCCTTATTTTCATGGTTTGAGCGCGATCTGATTGAGCTGAGTGTCAGAGCTTTTGGCGGAGAAAGGATAAGAAACGATTAGAGAATATTTAGATACGAACACTCAAAGAACTGTCCCTTCTTCAGTCACTGCTTAGAAGTCTTACGTGTGCGACACTATCGTCGTGTGTTTTTATACTAGCGCTAGAACCAATTGCACAGTAGACTGATAATAGCCCTGTATTTTCTCGCTCTCCCAACCTCCGCCCGTATGATTCCCTTGAGCCTCGCGCTCTTTCGTTTCGCTCACTATTTGTCGCGTCTCTTTTAGTGTTTTGTTAAGAATAAATAGCCTTTAAACATTCGAGTCTAACAACGCCACAGAAAATATTTGGTTTGGGCCGCGTCTCACCAATTCATGCGGTAATTTATGAGCATACAGCTGACCTTCTCGAGAAAGGGGCAAGAAGTCAAACTGGGGCTCAGAAGTGACAGGCTAATGGCAACAGTAGGGTTTGCTTTTGGCCGGGAGTTTTTAATAAAATAAAAAAGACTCTAAAAGTGGCCGTCAACAGTACACGTGTAAGCTAACAAACCCCGGAGTGATTACTAGGGATTCAGGACTGAATATGATCTTAAGGGACCCGAGTACAGCGATAGCGAATCGTGGTGTTTGGGAAGAGATGTCCATGAAAATGTCCCGTCCACTTCAGTGGTGAAAGTGTGATGATGATGATGATGATGATGATGATGAATACAGTTCCGATTCTATTGACTGCTAAAAGCTATAAATGTTTCTCCTTGACTCGGAAGTAGGTCAGAAGCCGTTGTGATCTTTCAGGAATATAAGAATAATCCATTCTTACCTGATCCATGACAAACACAGCAAAGTAGCAGGATTCTAAGGAAAGGATTCATTCCAGTTAATTCTCTCTGCCCTTTCCTTCAAGGCAGTTGGAAATGTTTAATCGCAGTAGCTCTGATTCTTAATCTATTGACACAGCAAAACTAGTATTTATCCCACGTTCCGTCTTGTTGTTGTAAAAAGGATAACTAGAGGATAATCTTTCTTTGTGACGCCCTGTCATAATTATCAATACATTGGATCTGATAGTGTGTACGGTTGATTATTCAGCTGTTTTTGCTGCCTTGTAAGCCACGCTTTTGTTTGATTTATTTCTTAGCTCGTGGTTTGTTCAAACAATCTTTATTTGGCCGGCTGCAATTATGTATCTTTACAGAGTCTCTCTTATTAACCCTTTCACTCCCAGAGGTGGCCAAAGTCAACTTTCCAAATTTTCAGTCTGGAAAAGGCCAAAAAAAAAACGTACATGTTGCACGTGAACGTTCTGTCAAAGAGGTTTCATTTAAATGGTCATACCATAGGATGTCATCCACAGATTCAAAAGCTAGTACTACATAATAAATAAATAGTATCATGTGAAACTACTACTAAAAAGGTTTCATTTAAATGGTCACAACAAAGGAGCTCGTCCACACTAAAAGTTAAAGCTTTTTACGGAATAAGCAGTTGGAACTTCACTCTAAGTAAATAGTACCATGTGAAAGTACTGCAAGAGAGGTTTCATTTGAATGGTAACACCATAGGATTTCATCCACAGATTCAAAAGTTAGAACTACATACTAAATAAATAGTACCATGTGAGAGTACTACAAGAGAAGTTTCATTTGAATGGTAGCATCATAGATTTCATGCACAGACTCAAAAGTTACAAATACATACTAAATAAATAGTACTGAAAGTACTGCTGAACAGGTTTCATTTGAATGCTTACACCATAGAACACGGTCCACACAAACTCAAAAGTTAGAACTACTCGCTAAACAAATATATTATACATTGTAATCACTATCTGTCTTCTCATTGGCTAAGAACCTACAGTTAGTTTTGAAAATCAGCGCAAACGTACAGATTAGTATAGTTAGTTATCTGCTAGCAGATTACTAGTTGCTCTGATCTGTAGGTTACGCGCGCAATGCACGATTTCCAAAAGCAATTTCAAACTGTGTTCCATACGATGCTGTGTTTGTCCTTATTTGCTTCAATGCAATGTATAATAAAACAATTATTATATTCGGTTTTTGCGATATCCGTAATAATCAAGGCCTCGGTAAGTGTTATCAGCCTTGGCCTTCGACTCGGCTGATAACTCTTACCTCGACCTTGATTCAAAAGAGGTTTTATTTGAATGGTCGCTCCAGAGGATTTCGTCCACAGACTCGAAAGTTAGAGCTACCTTACAAAAATCCTTCATTCACTATGCCGGTGAGTCAATAAAGAGTTAAGACAGAAAGATGCATTTTAGTTTTATGATGATATCTCACATTACAAAGGTCTCTACCAGCCCACATAAAATTTCGACCTTGAACATGTTCAACACTATAAACAACCAAAGAAAAAATATATGCAAAGTTGCCGATGACACTAAACTATCACGTTTGGAAAAGGGTGCATCTTATCATTCCCCTTTATCTTCATTGGTAAGAAGTAAGTCAAAGTTCTAAGTCTTTTAACATACAGTTTATTCTTCTGTATAAACAATTAAAAATTATATTCGTTATTACAAATTACAAACACTTTGAGGTTACAGCGAGTTTCACTGATCGGCATCTGCTGAACCCGCCGAATAATTAATAAACAATTGGAAAGAAAATGACATTTCGTATTTAGTTCATCACATCTCCATCATGAATAAAGCACACGCCCCTTGTAAGGATATCCGGATTCCAGAATCCGCGAAATTTTTGCCCGTCGAATCTGGAATCCCAAATCCTGGGCTTTGAGATCGGCAATACACCTTGAGGAATCCGAAATCGCACTAACGATTGAAATACGAAATCCAAGTTCCACTGACCAAAAAAAAAAGAAAAAATACAAAATCCAGTCCCTGGAATCCTGTCTTGGGTTCCCTTACGTAGGGCGAATGGTACATCTACTTTTTCCTCAGCACACTCTACAGCTCTTTTTGCAGTAAACTGTCATGTATCCTGGATTTCTTCTGCATTCACCTCTCCCCGCCCACGTTGCACACATGACATGAAGATTTTTGCAGCTGCTGCCACCTACAAATGCAAACATGATTCTTGTTACGTTTCAGCAAGAGCAGCTCGAAAGCTGGAACGAGAGCAAAGAAAAAGAACAGAGAGGGGAGGGATAGACAAGGAAGAAAGTTTCCCCTTCTCCTCTCCCCGTTTCCCTACCCCCCTTGTTTCGCCCTCACTCTAACTTTCGCACCATACAATAACTCGAGCGGAAACGCTTGCTACGCAGGCTAAAAGAGCATCGACAATCTGACAAAATATTTAAAGGGTACGGTCAAGCAATCACAACAATAGGGTCATTAAAACGGGAAAAATAAGACGCGCCTTACAAAAGACCGCGTCCTTATAAGATTAAAACTATCCCCTATATATTTTGTTTAAAATAATACGCGACCTAGGCCCCTTCTACACGAATCCGAATATTTTTGAAACTGCACAGTTTTTTTACACGAGAAGCCCGCGGATGAAAGAGTGGATTCACTTGTTACGTGTAGACGGAAGGCCGATTTAGGCACAAAGTCTGCGGTTTCAAAAATATTCCTGGAAGGGAAGTAGTCAAGATGCGTGTGGAATTAAAAAGACAGACTTCCCTGGTAAGGGGATAAAGGATGTGAAATGTGGGAGGCTAAGAGACACACCCATTTGTTTGCACGAAGCTTACATTGCAAAAAACTGCACAAAGACGAAGAGATGTCCTAATATGCAAGTATGCATTTGGTGGAGCGTCATTCTAATGCCGGTTTGCACGTGAAAACTCGGCGGCCATAGTGGTGGTTAAGAACAAAGGCATTTCTCTTCCCTGCGAAGTAAACTCTATTTTCACGTAAATTCTTCGAGAAAAAAATTCTATTGTATTGATCCCCAACATGGCCGCCTTGTCACGTGGTTGCAATCCAATAATGGAGCGCTAAGATTGGTGTAAGAACAAATTATTAAGCTTTGATCACATCCCTAACACAATTAGATTTGTCTTCGACATTTCTGTTGCCAGCAGCGAGTCCTATCTAGGCTGTGACTCTTCAGTTGGAGACTAACACCATCAGCTTGGGAAAATAAATCACTGTCCTGCAAATACCGGCAATTCATGAGAATTTTGTTTAACTGAAGAGGCTGACGTATCATAGGAATTTTCCTAAACAGTATGCTAGAATGATGAATTCAAAATCCACGACTGGCTGTTGCACCACTGAACTACAACCAAGTGGCCGCCAAAAAGCAACAGAAAGATAAAGATTTAGTCATCGATGTATCATTTCCTTTCAGTTTTCACTACTTACAGTTTTTGCAACTTTTCTTGCAGTTGAGTAACATATAGCCAGAGTTCCTCTGGCATTCTCCTATTCGTGCCCAGTAAGAACATGATCGGTGGTTATCTCTGCAGTTAACTAAAAGTAGCAAAGAAAAAAGATCAAAGATAAGTTACGATTTATATGCGACCTTACTTTTATACTGCTGACTAGAGATAGCCAATACCTTAATCGTACTTTTTTTAAGCTCGGTTTCTTCACTTCACCATTAAATTCCCAAGCTTTGGTGTTGAGGGTGAGAAAATTCCATCGATTCCTATTAACGTTTGCAGTGGTAGGTATATCTCTGACCAGCACAAGTAACTTAACACAATGAACATCTTACACACAAAAGGGAAGAGTGACAGCATTTATCTCCTCTCTCAGTTTAATAACATAAAACGTTTTCGAGTGAATTTAAAGATAATATAAATACTCGACTATCGTAAAAGAGGACACAGATCAATGAGTTTTGCTTCTCCAGGTTATGTATAACTCAATCAAGAAGTTTATTATTCGATTTATACTTAATTAAATTCGTGCTTTGCAAACAAATATAGCGGCAACTCGAAACAACTTT